CTACCTCGTATGACTAGGAAAATGGCCGGCCAGTCCTGATATATCTCGCAGAATAAGTTCCGGAGGCATGTTCACTCTCATCCATTACAATTACACATTTGTGGTGTAATGATATCTTGTAATATCCGTGCATGCCGCGATTAATTCTGACAAGGTAATAACACAAAATGGCTTCCATTTGGTGAGACCGACCTATATTTTGACGAATAATTGCCACGACAACAAGGGTCTGCGACCCATGTATTCAATCACCAGCCACCACCACAAAGACTTGTCAATATTAATGCTCATGATTTCTCTGTGAACGTATGATATTGGAATTTCCACATGAATATTAATGAATCTGGAATAGGATGACTTCATTTACTGGACTGAGAATCTGATTATGGGGAGGTCTTTTTACATGTAATCATTCTGGCTTCAGCCTAAACAATATTATCTGATCCATGGTGAATGTTCATAGTAAAGCATTTTGAGTAATTTCTAATAGAAAAAGGGAAATGAGTGTAGAATGTAAGATTAGAACTGGCGAGCTATCTTGTCTGGGTGAAGCTGCAGTACACTGTATACCTCAACGTATGGTTTACATAAAATGATTTTTTTTTTATAAATTTAGATATGTTTTCCAAAACTGCAAATTCTAAAACAACTACACTCGGATTATAAAAATGTTTCATCTTTAGTGCATCTCAATGCCTGCTTCAGATGCTGGATATGATCTAAGTATTATATTCTCAATATTTTCTTTATAATTTAACATTGATATTCTGTATACCGTGAAACTTTTGTTAAGTCAAATTTTCACCCTATGCCATTGAAATTCGATTTCGCAAAGTTTCAATTTCCCCCTTGTCAGATATTTACTAGATATATAATATTGTTTACTTATAATCGCTGTCATTACGGAGAGAGGGCGAAAAAAGGGAGAAGTTAAACTTTGGCAAACATTTCCTGGTATAGAGGATTTTAAAGTTTGACAGTAAGATATACATTTTCAATTTCCAATTTGAATTTGATTTGAATTTGAAAGTTTAAAAATAAATAATCATAGTAAAGTCATCATAAATGTTTCTATAGTTTCTTCTGATTCTCAAATAAATTGCTGTTGATATTCAAAGCAGGGAGAGACAAAACATATAATTCTGTAGAATTCTTGTTTTTTTCTTGGTTTTGTCTTCATTTAATGTGTTGACCATGATCTGTAGCTCTTTATTATTTCACGAAATGAAGAGTTACCTGTCCTATTATAGTAACAAAATATAACATAAAATTATAGTTCTGATAGATATGCTCTGTGATCTTAACAGTGACGACATTAATGTCCTCAGTCAGCTGATGGCAAATTTAATACTGCTGAACTATAGTGTCTGCCTGAAATAGCCTGTATCTCCATTTAATACTGCTGAACTATAGTGTCTTCCTGAAATAGCCTGTATCTACATTTAATACTTCTGAACTATAGTGTCTGCCTGAAATAGCCTGTATCTCCATTTAATACTGCTGAACTATAGTGTCTGCCTTAAATAGCCTGTATCTACATTTAATACTTCTGAACTATAGTGTCTGCCTGAAATAGCCTGTATCTACATTTGATACTGCTGCACTAGTGTCTGCCTGAAATATCCTGTATCTACATTTAATACCGCTGCACAAGTGGTTGCCTGAAATAGCCTGTATCTACATTTAATACTTCTGAACTATAGTGTCTGCCTGAAATAGCCTGTATCTACATTAAATACTGCTGAACTATAGTGTCTGCCTAAAATAGCCTGTATCTAAATTTAATACTGCTGAACTATAGTGTCTTCCTGAAATAGCCTGTATCTACATTTAATACTGCTGACCTATAGTGTCTGCCTGAAATAGCCTGTATCTACATTAAATACTGCTGAACTATAGTGTCTGCCTGAAATAGCCTGTATCTCCATTTAATACTGCTGAACTATAGTGTCTTCCTGAAATAGCCTGTATCTACATTTAATACTGCTGCACTAGTGTCTGCCTGAAATATCCTGTATCTACATTTAATACTGCTGCACAAGTGGTTGCCTGAAATAGCCTGTATCTACATTTAATACTGCTGCACTAGTGTCTGCCTGAAATAGCCTGTATCTACATTTAATACTGCTGTACTAGTGTCTGCCTGAAATAGCCTGTATCTACATTTAATACTGCTGCACTAGTGTCTGCCTGAAATAGCATGTGTCTACATTTATTACAATACAAATTGTCTGCATGGACGTCACATTTACAATATGCATTTGATATAAAAGTTACCCTGTAGAGCAGAATTACATTTGTACTTTAAAAAACAGTTTGCCAGCAATAGATACTGTATTTGAATTGGTTTATTTCTGTCTAAAGGGATATGGCTGGGTTTTTTTTTTCTCCTTTACAAAAAAATAATTGTGTCTGATCTCAAGCAGACTAATTGTGTCAGTCTTTAATTTAGAAATCATTATTTCCTATAAAAAATGTTTGATGCCCAGTCTAATGAAACGGATCAGGTGTACACGCACTGTATGGCCATGATAAATCAAGTGCAGCCGATCTTTGTACCCTTGACAGAATCAACATCCACGGCTTTGTACTGTTGGGCTTGTTAGACCTCATTGGAATGTAAAGTCAGTGCATAAATATTGAACAAGATTTTAAATAGGTCTATTTGAACACGGATGATTGATCCAGTCCTGATAAAACCTTCAGGTGTTGTGGAGGTGGTGGTAATCTGGTGATGTTCGTTATATCAACCCGTCACAATGTTCCGCACAACCAACGCATGAAACAAAAATGTAAGGGTGTGTGGGTACTTGACATTGTTGGACGTAGTTCTGAGGTTAACACACGTCCATGTATGGGCGAGTTTGGCGTTGTAGGGCCGACCAGTATTTACCGAGACAGCTTGGACATTGTACCACTTACACTAAGTCTAATTCTGGTATTGAATCCGTACATAGTCCTCAGGTTTGCAAAGAAGTAAAATGTATGGTCTACCCGGTATGTACAATAGGGAAGGGAATGGTCAGGTGCTCTCGCCCAAAACACAATCAATGATCTGCCCACGTTCCCCAGGCCATTCAGACATATGTTTGTGTCTTTGTGCTTGTACTGACCGCAATATTTTTGCTAACTATCCTCAATGCATTGACCAGAGCCACTTATTCATTTGACCAGTAAAAAGTCTTAACATTCTCACTTATCCGAACTTCTTGAAGTGCTATTCTAAAGTTATTCCATTTCACATGAATTGTTCCCAACATCGAACAATTTGTAGACAAAAAGGTTCATAATGTACCGGTAAACTTCAAAGGTGTTGCCAAGTCACACAGCGGCAGATCTGTAGTAGAACTTTCTTTGTACTAGTATGGAATTAACCCTGAGATAGTGATTTAAGCATCCTTAAAGCTCACATACCCCAGTATTGGTGATTTGGGTTTAAAAAATTAAGGATCCCCATACCACTGCCAGAAACTGTAACTTTGTATGGAATTTCTTTTCTATATGACTTTATCTTTGATTAATCATTCTTGCAAAAGAAAACTATACCTTGTGGAACTGTTATGGGAAAATTATAAAATTGTAATAAAAATTGACAGTGTTCTTCTGAGTGTAAAAATGAAATGGGACCAGACCAAAATTTGAACCCTGGACCTCTGATCATGATACTATGGCTCTAACCAAATGAGTTATCTGGTTGACAGTAGTACCAGGTCCAGTCACACTGCAGTTATATCTAAAAAAAAACACTAAGGGGAGGTAACTGTATGTTCATATAACTAGAGTCGAATTCTCTATAGAGTTTTACCTACACTGGGACTGGGATCTTTAAGTCAGTTGCCTTTACAGAGGTTTATGTGAAATCTCAGTCTCCCCCAATTAGTTAAGGATTGGGCTAGGTGATAAGTTTGTCTAGCAATGGATAGACTGATAAGGGATGGTTAATATAATGTGTGAATTTCAGTTAACAGTCAATCCGCCCATAGACCAATTTATTACCTAGTTCAATCCTTACAACTTCATTTCAAAACTAAAAAGGAACCGTGTTTAGAAAAAATGTGTTTTATTTCAATTTACAACAACAAAGCAATTTCTATCGATGGCACATTGACTTTGATGTTGACCAATCAAAGGCCTTGTTTCAAATTACACATGCACGTTAAAACATCATATTTTTTTTCAGTCCGATACTTGCATTGATAGACTAAAAATGAACCAATAAAGAAGTGTGTTGCAATCAAAATTCACTTATTATACAAAATTCTCTGTTTGACATTGAGGTGTAATTAATAAGAAGCAAAATATTAAAACACTGTTTGTTTTTTTGAAATCAAAAATACATAAATTAAATGATTATTCAAGTGTTAGAATTGGAATTCTACCACAATTCTTGGTTTGTACAGCATATACGGCCTAATAGTCCATTTTGTCAGAAAAATGCCCAAAATGTCTAATTTAATGCATCAGAACTTTTTTCAACTTTTTTTTCCAGTTAGGTTTTTCCTTGTTAACAGAAAAACAATATACCAAAATCCAAGTTGGAGAAAATAAAATCATCCCCTTTAGAACAAAAAAAGAATGAAAACATTTGACAAAATTTGAAGTGTATTATCAACCTCTATTGTAACATTGAGTATGAAAATTAAAAGTATAGCAAGAGCAACAAAAGTATACAAGTAGGTACGCCAAAATGTTGCTTCAGAATTATTTACTACGATTTCGAAAATGCTGATACACACACACAATTGAGGGAATTATCAGAGAACACATAAAAATCCCAGACTTATGATTAAATGTTTAGCATTTAAATATCAACACTGTTTATCATAAATAAGATGTGTAAGCTGTGCCAGTTTCTCAGCAGAGAAGTTTAAGAATGTTATACCAATAGTCATCACTAAATGTACATTACTGTGTATTTTCCATTTTGACCATTTAGTGGTGGAGTCGGGGATATTTAACACAATTTTTTAATTTAATTTATGCATTTACTTTACTTGCAGGTGGTGAAAATCATCAGAAACTCGGAGACAGCAGGACGATATGTGAGCTATCGGCTGGTGGTGTAGTGACCGGGGAATGTGTGTACTTGCGAGAGTATGTGTGAGTGTTTTTGATGAGGAGGAGGGGGAAAGGGGGGGCATCCTTGATACTCCAGGGGTTACCCTAAACTTTCACTCTCTGCACCCCTGGAATATGTAATGACAATATCTAAACCTCTGTGTGGAGATGAGACAAGAAGTTTACATTGATCCCTTGATCTACATCACAAGTAATTTGCGGCTGCACAACAGTAAAATAGACAAGTTTTGAAGTTGGGCGTCACTCCTCTGTAATCTTCAAGGGAGAGATATCAACCTAATTGGTCAGGATTTTTACCTGGGACCAATCAAATAGATAGCTGCTTGCCTTCTATTTTACTATGGCATATTTCAGGGGATGCAGAAAGCAAAAGTCTGCATAACCCTTTAAGTATCGAGCATGGGGTTGTACATCTGTGTATTGATAAACGTATGAGGAAGAGAGAGAACTTGTAAATCACTTATTTCAATTGATGTGCATTGTCCATTAAACGTAAATCACTTATTTCAATTGATGTGCATTGTCCATTAAACGTAAATCACTTATTTCAATTGATGTGCATTGTCCATTAAAACATTTTTGGCTCATTTTTTTCTTTTCATTTTTTTTGCTAATCTCGTCATTTCTGACAGAAACTGGTCCTTACAAAGGATTCAATATTCACCTTAGACATTGACTGATCACCAGTGACTCGTCACAATACTGACCGACTATTTCAGAATAATTATTCTATCAAAAGAATGTTTCTTTATGAAAGGAATCGCTACATGTTGGCTCAGCTATTCAATCATTGAAATAAAAATGGCATCATATTATACTTGTTGTAGATGCTAAACATGTTTTATATGAAAAATCTCCATAAGACAGGTTTTGATGCACAAATCAAGTCATTATCTTTAGAATTCCTATTGTAAATCTTAACTGTGCCATCTTGAGGATTCACCCTTTTGAAACATTATGATGCGGGAAGTTGATTGTAAGGCCACAGAATGCTATATAGCAGTTGTATTTTACCACATTTTAATTCCTTCATGTTCGCAGTTGACTATAAAGGGTGTGTTTGTAGGTTTAAACCCACCAAATCTGTTCAGCAGCAAAATGTGATGTCAAGGTTTTAAAACAACCATTCTGATTAAAATCATATCCTACGTTCTCTAAGTATCCTAACGTGATACGTAGGATCCTAACATGATACGTAGGATCCTTACATGATGCGTAGGATCCTAACGTGATGCATAGGATCCTAACGTGATACGTAGGATCCTAACGTGATGCGTAGGATCCTAACGTGATGCGTAGGATCCTAACGTGATGCGTAGGATCCTAACGTGATGCGTAGGATCCTAACGTGATGCGTAGGATCCTAACGTGATGCGTAGGATCCTAACGTGATGCGTAGGATCCTAACGTGATGCGTAGGATCCTAACGTGATGCGTAGGATCCTAACGTGATGCGTAGGATCCTAACGTGATGCGTAGGATCCTAACGTGATGCGTAGGATCCTAACGTGATGCGTAGGATCCTAACGTGATACGTAGGATCCTAACGTGATGCGTAGGATCCTAACGTGATACGTAGGATCCTAACGTGATGCGTAGGATCCTAACGTGATGCGTAGGATCCTAACGTGATGCGTAGGATCCTAACGTGATGCGTAGGATCCTAACGTGATGCGTAGGATCCTAACGTGATGCGTAGGATCCTAACGTGATGCGTAGGATCCTAACGTGATGCGTAGGATCCTAACGTGATGCGTAGGATCCTAACGTGATGCGTAGGATCCTAACGTGATGCGTAGGATCCTAACGTGATGCGTAGGATCCTAACGTGATACGTAGGATCCTAACGTGATGCGTAGGATCCTAACGTGATACGTAGGATCCTAACATGATGCGTAGGATCCTAACGTGATACGTAGGATCCTAACATGATGCGTAGGATCCTAACGTGATACGTAGGATCCTAACGTGATGCGTAGGATCCTAACGTGATACGTAGGATCCTAACATGATGCGTAGGATCCTAACGTGATACGTAGGATCCTAACATGATGCGTAGGATCCTAACGTGATACGTAGGATCCTAACGTGATGCGTAGGATCCTAACGTGATACGTAGGATCCTAACATGATGCGTAGGATCCTAACGTGATACGTAGAGAACGTAGGATATGATTAGAATCAGATTGAAAAACAACATACTGATACAGTTGTCAGTTGTAATGTGGCATTGGTGCCAGTTGAAATCGGGGGTTTTTAACAGATTTTATTTACTAGACTTCAACAATGTGAAAGATGTACCTGGTATACAAAATCCAAACATGTTTCAGTGCATTTCAAGATATTGTTCTACAAATTTGAGTGCATGGAAGTGTTCCACTGGTCAAACCAGCTGTTACGCCACCTAAATATAACCAATGGTCCTGTCTATGGCCTTCACCTGTCTCTTGGTCATTGTGTGGTCGGACCAAATCAATATTTGTATGTTGCACTGTATACAGTAGGTATATGTATGTGATAGAGACCTGAACCATTGAGTTACTCATGTCTTTGTCGAGTCATCAGGACATAATTACACCACATTTTACCACCTCACCTGTGTGAATACCTGGTAATGACAGAGGTCAACTCCCTGATTAGTCCGGCTGATCTTTTAATGAGGGCTAAGACAGGTGTAGAATATGTTAGATTAAAGGGGAAAATGGTATCAGAGACCCATAGGTTTGTTTGAAAAACTTGTTACTCAACAAATCACTGTGAACATGCAAGAAGAATACCTGTGTAATCTGTGTACTGTTACATAGAAGGTGTTCGAGTGATACTGTTCTGTCAAGCTGAGGGAAGCGTACACAACACAGATGCTATAACAACAGGTGATAATGAGGAATTAACACTAGCAGTGTGGCAACACACGCTTTACACACAAAGCACATGTTTTTCAGTGATTATCTTATTTAGACAGATTATCACTTGAGCTCAGTATGTGGGTTCATCAGAGGAACACTAATGTCTTGTGTATAACATTGCCTAAGTCTTTATGTACATCCTTGTCTTATTTGCTGACTGTATTATAAATGTTGTCATAGCATAATGATTGAGCCATCATACAATTATGGTCTTTTGTTGAAGTAAAGGTTTTATTGACCTCAGAAAATGTTTTATTGACCGAGAACAACGCCCTAGATCTTTGTCCTTTTTATCTCTGGTCAATAAAACCCATGCATTGACTGCTGGATTAGAAAAAAGGCTACGATAGATTTATCATTCTACCACTATTACTGTGTGGGCTGGGGTTCAGAATAATAATATGTCATAAAAAACAAGGGGAGGAAACGTGGCCGATATGTTTGTGTCTGTGTTAGAAGAACATAGTAAGATAAGAGATACTGTATTTGTTTAAAATAAATGAAGGTTATTTTTTCAATAGATGTATTTAATGGACAAGTTATGAAGGTACATCTATCTTTAATTGAGGTGAGTAAAGGAATGTTAAGATAATGTCTCCATTGTCATTGAAGGTAAATATATATCTAAATTCCTGATTTTCTATATATAAAACATGCATGATAAACCGGAACAAAGGAATTCCTTGCACTTAACTTAAAAAACTGAAAACATTTCAATATCGTCTTCTCATCAAAAATCATAATAAAATCATTTCAATATAAATTTGTTTTTCTGTCTTTTTTATTCTCAATACTAATCAATGCCAGTCCTTGCTGTAGGAAAAGTGGAATGTAAGGGCAGTCGGATAACTCTTTAGTGGTCAGGGTTTTATTCTTACTACTGTCATCACAATGACAACTGACGGACACTAGTGCACTGCCAAGGTCTCGTTAATGGTCTTCGTCATCAGAGGTCTCGTTAATGGTCTTCGTCATCAGAGGTCTCGTTAATGGTCTTCGTCTTCAGAAGTCTCGTTAATGGTCTTCGTCATCAGAGGTCTCGTTAATGGTCTTCGTCATCAGAGGTCTCGTTAATGGGCTTCGTCATCAGAGGTCTCGTTAATGGGCTTCGTCATCAGAGGAATGAGCAGTTATGATAGTGAATACTGATGAAGTCGCTGATTTGGGTAAATAAAGGTTCACTATTGGCAGGCTATAAAAGTGGCATTTTTTGGTATGCAGATTGTCAATCTGTTCGTTCAAACTTTATACAGAGTGAAAAATATCATACATGTATTACCTTGTAGTATTGATTTGATATATAAATTTGATGTTGTGCCATTTTTTTTGTACTTGCATACCCTTGCAGTGTTTTGTACAGAATAGATAAATGTAGCAAAAATTTCAACACCCCAAAATGTCCTGTTTTACAGCAATTCTTGTAACTGGTCAATAATTATGTCAGCAAAGTGCACAAGAGTAAAAAAACCCTGATCTCTTAGCTACAAGTAATGCATTTACATTCAGATGCCAGAGTTTTATCAAACTAACCCCCAACATATCATTGTTGGCCGGAGTTTTAAATGAAGTCTTTTTGAAGTGTCAGCTCTCTTCAGAATGTTGTTCACACAGTTCTTGGTAATCGTTTGATTCCTTGCTCAAGGTTTAAACTCATTGGATCATTCTAACTATAAACTAGATGTCATCTAACTCAGATACTGGCAATAATTTAAAAGATGTTGGCCGGTTCAGTGCCTGCAACTACTCAGTCAATATTTTTATCTAAACTTCATCTGCGCCTTTAGTCTCTTTAGTAGAGCAATTCACTTCTGCTTGTTTTACTGACATTGCAATAAGATCTGTAACAGGAGAAAGAGAAAATGTAATGGCCAGACCGGGGTTCGAACCCGGGACTCTTTGAACTCTAGACTGACGCTCTACCAATTGAGCTACCTGGTCACCATCGATGGACCCAGTCCTGTTCCGCTATATTCCTCACTCCTTCTTCTAAGTGTTCGCCCCCGAAGACACAACTATTTACAACTCAAGTTCGGGTATCCCCTTACCACGCGTAAACCCAATGCTTGAAACATGGGTTAGCAAGCTCCCCAATTTTGTAACAGGAGAAAATACAACATCCAGACCATGGTTCAAACCCAGGACCCTCCACACTCTTAGACGTACGCTCTACCAATTGAGCTACCTGGTCGCTGATGATGGACCCAGTCAAGTTCCCCTATGCATCAAATGGTCGACAATATCTGCAGCAAAAATGACCAGATATCATAAAAAAAGCAATAGCATAGTGTAGATCCTTTCAACACTTAAAAGAATTAACCTAAAATAATAAATAATTATCCTTTAAATCCTTTCATTTTGCAGTCAATAACAGAGCTACTAAAAGGTACAAAGGGGGGGGGGGGGGGGGGTNGGGGGGGGACTTTCCATCCTTGGTCAAATTAATAGATTGCCAGTTGAGTGGAATGCCAACAAGAAATGTAAAGTTAAAAGCCTGATCAGCTTAACTACAAAATAATACTAATAAAATGTGTAATGTAAAACATTGAAGTAAAGCTAACAATGCTGGGGTAACTGAACACTATACCAGATGAATGGTCCAAGGAGACTGCAGCATGGAATCTTCATTAACGTTTGGAGTTGAGAGCAACAGCGGATTGGGAGGAGTAAAAACTGCACCGTTTT